CTGGAATGTGCAACGGTAGCTCGCGACCCATGAAAGATGGAGGGTCATTGCACGTCAACTTTTGAGTCAGAGATGACACCTGCAGGAATCCAGTTATCATACTTTTCTACTTTTCATTTGTCTTGTGTAGAGTGTTTTGGCATTTGTTCTTCTTATGTTCATTTCTCTATTTCACTTTTGCTATCGTCCGTGGTGATTGTTTCCCCTAGATAGCTGAACTGATCTATTAAGCAAGACTCGTCACTAGGGATTACATGATCGCTTTTAAGGACAAGGGGACCCGCCCAGAATTCGAGGGCTTTCAGATATCTTGACCTACACCAAAAGTGGGCATTGCCCTAGCTATAGGAGGGGTTTGGTTTCATTGGTGTGTATAATAGTTTGATAAAAGAGAAAACTCTCCTTGTCTTTTAAAGAAACTGAACAAGGGTCCAAAGACTTTACCGTCGATTTTCTCAAACAGCATTTTTCGGGATAGCCCACTTGTACTTAAAAGGGACCAATTAATCGTGAGGTGGCGCGGTTGGGAGGTCACCTGTAACCTGACCCCCCATTACAGAGTCTAGACTAACGCTTTACGCTCCTCCCCAAAGGACGATGGTTGGGAACTTCTTTGGGTTGTGTGTTTTGGGGTTTTTTAAAATCGTTTTGGGTTTTTGGTGGGGAGTTTTTTCGTTTCGGCTTTCTTCCCTGGGGTGGGGGGTGGGTGTGATGTTTGAACTTCCCACTAAAGACCAATATGTCGTTTCTGTAGCTAGGCGTTTGTGACAACAATAAGCTTGAAGAAAAGGGGAGGAAAAAATGAAACGGAGCAGTAGACAGCCCATAGATTTGTCGTCAAATATCTCACAAGACTGTGCGTTATGTTTGTGTTTGTTTTATGAAAAGTGGTGACATGGGAGCGGAGTAAGGAAGATATTTGTCATGCTGTAAAGTTGGAGGACAAAATTAGCTGCGTACAGAGGAGGAAAACCTTCCGTGAGCTAAGAGTTGCACTCCTCAATCAGCTGTTGGCGTAAGCCGATGGCCGTAAGCTTACCTCCCACGCCCTGCTCCCCGGCGTCCGTGGTCCGGGGATTTAGCCTGATGAACTGTTGTTTGGCATCAGCTTTTGTACAGACCCCCCCTCTCTCTCTCTCTCTCTCTCTCTCTCTCTCTCTCTCTCTCTCTC